TTAAGGAAATTGGAAATGAAATCTGATTAGAAAGCGATGGTATCGGGCCCGTATTTTGGTTCCGGCGTCCGATGCAGGTCTTATATATGTTTTAAGTCCTTCCTGTGAAATTTGGTTGAAAACGGACGTCGTTTGACGTGATTCGGACTTATATTGGAAAATTTGATGTTTTATGAAGTTTGAAAGAATTCATGGATTTTGAGGTTTAATTCGATGTTTATGATGTTATTTTGGCGATTTGATCGCACGAATAAGTCCGTAGGATGTTTTTGAGGTTGTGTGTATATTTGGTTTGGAGCCCCGAGGGCTCGGGTGAGTTTTAGATAGGCCACGGGGTGCATTTTGAACTTAAAAATCTGCCGGTGTGTTCAGGCCTGCAGGCTTCGCAAATACGAAGGCTGGATCGCAAATACGAAGCCAGCCCAGGCCACTCTTCCTCGCAAATACGAGCTACCTTATCGCAAATACGATGTCGCAATTGCGACTACAGCTTCGCAAATGCGAAAGTTGGGAAATTATGAAGGGTTCGCAATTGCGAGCTCGCAAATGCGAAGGCTGGATCGCAAATACGAAGCTAGCCCAGGCCACTCTTCCTCGCAAATACGAGCTACCTTATCGCAAATGCGATGTCGCAATTGCGACTACTGCTTCGCAAATGCGAAAGTTGGGAAATTATGAAGGGCTCGCAAATGCGAACCCTTTTTCGCATTTCCCACATATGCAGAGGTCGGGGTTCGCAATTGCGAACCCCTGTTCGCATTTCCCATAATTAAGACCTGCAATTTTTACACTTAAACGATTTTGAGCTTCATTTTTCATATTTTCTCAAACCTTAACACACTTAGGCGATTTTCCAAGAACAAGTCTTCTTCCAAATCAATTGTAAGTTAGTTTTTTCTCATTTCTTTCAATCATTAACATCTTTTAACATGATTTCAACCTAAAATAAAAGATTTTCATGGGGGAAATTGGGTGTTTTGGGTAGAACCTAGGTTTTTCAAAAATTGGGGATTTGGACCTCGATTTGAGGTTCGATTTCAAAACAAATTATATATTTGAGTTCGTGGGGGAATGGGTAATCGGGTTTTGGTTCGAACCTCGGGTTTTGACCGCGTGGGCCCGGGGCGTTTTTTGACTTTTTGGGAAAAACATTGGAAAACTCATTTTCATGCATTGTGGTTGATTCTTTAGTGTTTATTAATGTAGCTAAGTAATTTGTGATTAGATACGAGCGAATTGGCGATGGAATCAAGGGGTAAAGCTATAATTGAGGCTTGAGTTGTGTGCAAGGCATCGAGGTAAGTATTTGGTCTAACCTTAGCTTGAGGGATTAGGAGTTGAGTCATATTTGCTATGTGTTTCTTGTGGAGTACGACGTATAGGCATGGTGACGAGTATCTATACATCGGTGTCGAGCATGACCGTGAGTCTTAAATTAATATTTGTTGTATTCTTGAATAATACTATGGTTGCAATAGTGAGTCGATCCGTGGTATTGAGTAAAGGATTGGCTTATTTTCGTAGAAGTTATTTATGAGTTGGAAATGGTGATAATGGAAATGATTAGGAGTTTAATTGAGATTGGTTATAGCTGGTTCTCCCTTGCCGGGACGAATATACTTGTACTGTTGAGTTCCCTTGCCGGGATAGAGTATTTTATGGTTAATCCCTTGCCGGAATTTTTGTCATGATTACTGTGAGCTGTATATTTGGAATGGGTTGCGCGCCGCAACATTTTTTATTTATGTATACATATATGGATCGGGTTGCACGCCGCAACATATATTATATTGGATCGGGTTGCACGCCGCAACATATATTATATTGGATCGGATTGCACGGCGCAACATATATTATATTGGATCGGGTTGCACGCCGCAACATATATATATTATTGGATCGGGTTGCACGCCGCAACAGATATATTATATTTATTGGATCGGGTTGCACGCCGCAACAGTTATATATATATATATATATATATATATATATATATATACCTATGGATCGGGTTGTGCGCGCCGCAAACAGTAAGTGTTTAATATATTGTTTTAGATATTCTACTGTTCCTTCACATTTGTTTAGTTTCGGCTAAGTTGAACTGTTTCCCCGAGGCATGTACCCCCTCCCTTTTAACTGCTTATTTCTTGTTTATTTTCTGCAATATATTGTATATATGTACAGGTTTATTTGGTAGTCTGGTCCTAGCCTCGTCACTACTTCGCCGAGGTTAGGCTAGGCACTTACCAGCACATGGGGTCGGTTGTGCTGATACTACACTCTGTGCTCTTTTGCACAGATCCAGGTCCCGGAGTAGCATTTGGTCATCTGCAGTAGGTTGGGAGTTGTCCTTCAGTCCGAGACTCCGAGGTAGCCCTGCTGGCGTTTGCAGGCCCGGCGTCTCTTCTTTCAGTTTTTATGTTCTGTTGTCATTTGTACTCGAGACAGACTATGTTCTTTTCTTCAAACACTTATTTGTAGTAATCCTAGACAGTCCGTGGATGTTGTGACACCAGGTTCTGGTTAGAGGCACGTGTTGGTCTTCAGGATGTTTAGACAGTCCGTGGATGTTGTGACACCAGGTTCTGGTTAGAGGCACGTGTTGGTCTTCAGGATGTTTTGGTTTTACATTTTATTTAAGACTTCCGCTAAATTTCATATTCCGCTGTAATTTTTGCTTATTTCGGTAATTAATGGTTAAAAAGGATTAAAACAAAAAAGTTAATGATTTCTAAGATCGTGGCTTGCCTAGCTTCTACGAGTAGGCGTCATCACGACTCCCAAGGATGGGAAATTCGAGTCATGACATTTAGCATGAGAAAAACAATGAAGCCGTGTCTTTATGCACTTAGAAGGTGGCAATAGTAATAGACAAACAATTTCAACTGACCTTTAATCTGAAACAATTCACAATGTGCAAATTTCAATACAATCAAATGACCAAAATAAAAAATGTCATATTAGTAAATATCACGATTAGATAAAGCAATATAAAACCCCCGGAAAAAATGGAAAGATTAAAACATTCAAAATTCATAGTTTAAAATCCTCTTTTTTGCACCAATTCATTGGAAGAATTCAAAATATTAGGGTTTTGAGCAGTAATTTCAAAATTAGCCAGTTTGAATATCACTCAAAAATAGATAAGAGGCAAAAGGCCTACATTTAAAGTGAAGATTCAGTAAAAATAAAAATGTGGGAATGGCGGGTTTGAATTTTTGGGTTCAGAACTACAATTGTTAAATATAGGAAAAGAGCACCGCTGATTAATCTGATCCAACGGCCATGGATGAGTTTCTCATTTTACTACTAGTCTACTACTACTCCCTCCGTCTGACGGATTTAATTGATGGAAATTTTGAAATTTATAGTCTTAATTATAGCATAGTTTTGTATGGTTATGTATTTTTATTTATATGTCATAATATTTGCGTGCTAATATGCCCATAAAAAGATTTTATTAAGCTTAAAATGTGACTATAAAGTTAAATTACTTTTATTTATAGATATGTATTATTCTTTTTTTAACGAATTAATAAAAAAACTGTGTCGCATGAGCTATAGAAGTGCATTATATTCAACATAAAATGCAGATCTCCTCCATTTAGTTACTTCGGATTGGTGATCGATAGCACTCTAGTTAAGTTTCTGTTATGAATAAAAATAGTCAATGGGCCATGATGAAGAACGTGTTTAAGAAACTAGCAAACTTTGTGTGGGATCCGGGTTAATGGGCCCAAGCGCCAAAATCAATTAAGCGAATTGGTTAAATAGGGTAGGGTAACAATAGTATAGGCAGGCTGAATTTTGTAGAAAGTTCCCCTCTTTGGTCTCTATCTCCCTCAACTATTTCTCTCTGTGGCTCTGTCTTCTCATCCCCTTTCTTTCTGTTACTATCCTTAGTTATTGTTACTTTACAGTGTAATTCCTTTATTATCAGTATCAATATATCAATCTGTTATTTGTTATTTTTGTATTTGGTTGTGGATATTGGATCCATAACAGTTTCATTCTTTCGTTTTGCTCATTTATAATATTGCATAATGTTTTTAATTCTTAGGACCAACTCAATAAAGATTGGATTTCCTGTTGTTGAACGAACCAGCCTTTGCATTTCAGACCAACCATTTAATTCAATTAAAGTAAATCAGTTGACTAGACGCTAGACACTAAGGATCCGTTTGGATATAGATTTCCAAATATTTTTAGAAAAAACTGATTTGTGCGAAGTTTGATTTGAAATTGAAAATGTGTTTGGACATGAATTTTGGGGCAAGTTTTAGCATGTTAAAAAGTCATTTTTTTCTTTTTTTTCTGCTAAAAAGTTCTAGATGGTCATGATTTGGCCCAAACAGAGGTCTTAAGCTATATTTAGAATTTGAAGTTTTGGTTTTCAAAATCTCCCCAAAACTAGATTAATTCTTTAAACAAACACTTATTTGAATTTCTTTTTTTTTTATTTAAAAAAAGCCTTCCAAAACTTATGGCCAAACGCCTACTAATTCCTTGTATATTGTCTTCATATTTTCAAAGAATCATCACGAATGTGTCGGAACTTCAGAAAATTTATGTAAAGAATTAAATAAGTTATAATTATTTGAAAAGAAATTTTCAAAAAATGTCTTGGACATACATGAATAAATACTATGTGTGAACCAAACCTTACACTACAATAATTATACAAATCCGAATATAGTTCAAGGAAATTCGGTTGCTTTTTTAATCTTTATTTTTTCTCTCATTAGATTTACCAATTACTATTTTATTATTCTCCTACCAATTTTTACTAATTCAATCACCTTCACTTTAACCTTCGTCTTCAACCATTCAACAATATGCTCTCGTTTCATTTCCATGCATGCAAAATAACGTCCAATTTCTCTCTAGAATAATTTCCCTCTATAATGTTATTTTCCCTTTGATTGAATTCTTTTCTCCATCTCTTCTCTTTTGAGGTTCTTGGAATTTTCCATTACAAAGAATTCATAGAAATTAAAAGGATGGGACAACAGACGTTGATTTATAGCTTCGTTGCCCGGGGAACGATAATTTTGGCAGAGTACAGCGAGTTCACAGGAAATTTTAATAGCATAGCCTCTCAATGCCTGCAAAAACTGCCTGCATCTAATAACAAATTCTCATATAATTGTGATGGTCACACCTTCAATTTCCTCTCCGACAATGGATTCAGTTAGTTTCATTTCATTCCTATTCATGATAATAACATTTTTTTTTTATTTCCTTTTTTCTTTACCTGTTTTGATCAATTCTGGATCTATTTATTTGGTCATTTTGATTGTCTGGCATTAGTTATGTGTGACTATAGATCTACGTACCAGGTCATATATAGTATCACTTCATCCTCATAGTAAAGTCGCATTTTCGGTTACAAACAAGGGTAGAGCGACATAGCCCGAAGGGGTTCAATTTGAATCCATTTCGTTGGAAAATTATATATTGTGCAAATAGGATAAAAACATATTTTTTTGGTATATATAAACGTTTGAATATCCTTGAAGCAAGAAAAACTTTTAGTGAGTGACAAATGTGGTTCCAAAATTTCTTCTTTATTATAGGTTAATTCGTATGTCAGGTATGGCTTTCGTGCGCCTTTTTGAATCTCCTAGTTAGGATTCTTGTTGCTACCGCGAGTTCCAAGGATCATCATAGACTGGCAGTCCAGTGCACAAGGCATCCTATGTTCACGCAGTGTCCGGAGAAGGGTCGTACCTCAAGTGGTATGATGTAGACAGCCTAATGTAATGCAAGCTTTAGTGATTACTTACACGGCTTAAACCCGCAAGCTACAGGTCACATAGAGACAACTTTACCGTTGCTCCAAGGCTCATCGTAGACTATTCATTTCATTCTCATAAAATGGCCAACATTAGTTCTTAGATGGCGTATTCTAGTTTTTTCAGTGTTTGTTAAAATATTTGTTACAAACTTGACCTGTTAAATACTATCTTAATATATCATTGAACCTCATTTATTTTGATACTGCAGCATATTGCGTGGTGGCTACTGAATCTGCAGGTAGGGAAATTCCCATTGCCTTCTTGGATCGTGTAAAGGATGATTTTAGCAAAAGATATGCTGGAGGAAAAGCTGCAACTGCTAGTGCTAAAAGCCTGAATAGGGAATTTGGGTAACTTTCTTTGTCAATAATAATTAACATGTACATATATTATCTTTGTACAGGAATTACTAAACAATTGTTTTCACACGCCATTGTAGGTCAAAATTAAAGGAACACATGAAATACTGTGTTGATCATCCTGAAGAAATCAGTAAGCTTTCTAAGGTCAAGGCTCAAGTTTCTGAAGTCAAGGGAGTTATGATGGAAAACATTGAGAAGGTAATTTTTTTTTAATTAGGTTATACTTTATCCAAAACTTTGAACTAAAAGGAGTCACATATCCGGCACAGCTTTGCCAACATTCAACAAGTTATATTGAAAAAAATGCATCTATATAATAGAGAAGAAAAAAAAATGTAAACATTAATTCGGGAAAGAAGTAAAGCGTTAGAACCTCTACTTCCCCATAACTGAAAAAACATACAAGTTAACTTGTGATAATAGGCTGACAGCAACAACAACAACAACAACCCAATGTATTCGTTTTGAGGAGGGTAGGATGTACACTGTCTACCCTAACCTGGAATACCCTAACCTGGAAGGGCAGAGAGGCTGTTTCCGACAGACCCCCAGTTAAAGAAATGATGAAAGAAGCACGAATATTTAGAAAACTAAAACCAAGATAGCAAAAGAAACGATGAAAGAAGTATTGATAGCAAGTAATAACAATACAAGATATGTAGTAATAGCAATCTAAGGATAAAATGATACCATACTAACACTAATACTATTGAAACTAAGGAAGGCAAAGGGAAACGCTCGACTACCTACTAACGTTCTGACAACACTTGTGTAAAATTCTGCATAGGCCATTGACATAGGAGAATCTTCATGTTTTGTAGTTCTTTATTACTGAATTCAACATTGAATGTAGTACGAATTTGCTCAAGATTTTTGTCTGATATCAGGTTCTTGACCGTGGTGAGAAGATTGAGCTTCTAGTCGATAAAACAGAGAATCTTCGATCACAGGTCAGCTTAATGCATCAGGAATATGTTTTGAGCAACTTTAACTGCATGATTGATGTGTCCACTTTCCTATTTCATTCCTTTAATTTTTATAAACAAAAATTGTTTCCTGGTTTGTGCAATGGTTGTAATCTGTTATTTGCGATTTTCAGGCTCAGGACTTCAGACAACAGGGGACCAAGATAAGAAGGAAGATGTGGTATGAAAATATGAAGATAAAACTGATTGTTTTGGCTATCATCATAATCATCATGCTCATTATCATTTTATCTGTCTGCCCGGGATTCAAATGCACTTGACTTGCATCAGACTACCTCCACCCCGAGGTTCTTATCTTCGATATATACCCTTATTCATGCTTGCTTGATCCATTTTTGATGTTAAACCTACCAATCAGTCAAGAGTTCTTCTTTCCGGAGGCGAATTCAAGATCTGAAATGAATTCAAAAAGAACGTTATCTTATTATATATATATATATACATTTTTTTGTACTTGTATTTGTATTTGCATACATAGTTTGAGCTGAAAGCAATAGGTTCAGTTGAACTCATAGAACCCGTCCTCAATCCGACTCTATTCCTTTCAATTGGCACTTAGCTCATGAGAAGCTGGATTGGCCTGTATTTTGATGTAGATGAATAGGTAATCAGGTTTAGTTTATTGCCTTTCTTTTTTTTTTGAGTGTCGTCTCTAATTCTTTTTCCCTGTTTGTCCAATTGATGCTTTCATAATATGATACTGTAAATATTTGTTTAGCTTATGATATATGCGACTTTGATGGCTGCAAAACAAAAAGTATAACTCCATAGCTATGATGTTAGAAGATGGTCCTCTAAAATGTCAATAAGGTTTTTGCAATTTCAAAGAAATATTAAAGAATATAGTTACTTCTAATGATTTATGGTTGAATCTTGTTTTCTGTTTGACATAATAGTTTCTAATTTATTATCTCAAATATTCAACCTGATAATCTCAACTGGTAAACTCCACATATCTAGAACTAGAAGAGTTAGTAAAGGGCTGTACCTGATTAGAATCCTTGACAGTATGCTTGTGTTCTCATAGCAAACCTTCTGCAACTTAGAATGATTCTGATACAGAGTACTGTTACAAGCATGCCCATTAGACCACAAAAGTATGATTACAAGAACCTAGTAAAAAGGGCAATCCGGTGCACTAAGCTCCCGCTATGCGCGGGGTCTGGACCACAAGGGTCTATTGTACGTAGCCTTACCTTGCATTTCTGCAAGAGGCTGTTTCCACGGCTCGAACCCGTGACCTCCTGGTCACATGGCAGTAACTTTACCAGTTACGCCGAAGATCACAAGAACCTAGTAAAGGACAAAAAAGAACTCAATTTCCTTTCGGACAAAGTATAAGAACCTGAGAGAAAGTGTCCCAATACCTCAATAAACTTATAAAATGCAACAGATTCCTCCTTCCTCCTTCATTATTGGCGCGACCTTAGGCCATTAGGAGTCCACTCAAAGTTGTGAATCAAAAGATAAACTAGTAAGTCCCTCCATAATTTTGCCCTAAATTGACCTCCAGCACTTAGTCCTCAAAGCTCAAGTGCTGCATTTCGACTTAATTTATGCAGCCTTGCATAATCAGAAGCAGCCCCGGGTGGATATTAGAAACCACACAGAGGGACATGTTAGAGAAACGTGTTCATTCGAGTCAATATGGAGAATCTACAGAGGAAAATATGAGTTAATATGTCCCTAGCCAAATGAACTTTAGGAATTGAACCAACAGTCATTTAAGATCATCAAATTACATGGAACTTGATCTCCTCTCTTTCTTGAAAATGCTAGATAAACAAATTTATAGAACAAATATATTGGCAGCAGGAGCTGGCACAAGGAGTGTAAGTCGAGGCATAAAAGGGAAGAGTGCAAGTCAATGCATAACTTCATGGTTTCCTACAATAACCTGATTTAACTTTCATTCTAGCATAGAGAAGGTTAAGCCATTCCCAAAATTGCGGGGAGTAAAAAGAGTTGAACATAACAGAGTGCAGAAGTTGATGCTATAAACAGGTGGCATATTTCATTTACAATCATACTAAGATATTGAAGTTTTAACACACATCTGCCAACTCGGTATTGTACATTAACATAGTGAATCAACTATATGGATAACTCGAGTTTGACCATTTTGTGAGAAGGGCCATATTTAGAAGAATTTTGAATCAATCCAGAAAAGAGCGACTCTTAGCAAGGCATGGTAAGAGGATTCTTCTCTTCTTCATTCTGGTCGAAACTCCATTCCTTGAACAATGAGGCCACCTTTCGCAAAGAGACGCCTAATCTCCATCAATCTCGCTTCAACATCTCCATCTTCTCCAGCATCATTGAAAAATTTTCCCATTTCTGTTTCCATCCATCCATCAACCCTTCTCTTGGATCGCTTCTCACTAGGTCCTTCTTGTCTCGAAAGACTAACAACACTAGCTCGTTCCTCAGCTTCATTGTTACTCTCACAACCAACAAATCTAACAAATGCATTAGCAGTTTCAAGGCCATAAAATCCGTCTGCCAATTTGAACACTAGATAAACAGCATATTTGGTTCTTTTTGACAGTATTCGAGTTTCAATCTTGCCTCGCATATCAAGCCAACAAACAAACCGAAGATTAGCCACTTCTGAGAATCTGCAAAAAATGTAGGTATTTAATTTAAGCACTTTCTTTCTTAATTACACAGGAAAGAACAGACAAAATATAAAACCTGGAGTCTACGTGAGATGACCATTCCCAATAATGTGGTGTATCACCCCATGATATAACAAGCTCCCTTGCTGCAAGCATAAAACATTTCTTCCCAGTCTTCTTATCCAATGAAAAACTCTATTTAACAGATCAAACAATAGATACACAACATGTCAGGAATAAAGAAAAAGGAAAAAAGGTCCTAGACTAAATCTAACTGCATGAAAGGGAGTCCAGGACCCAGACCACCAAACACCCCTTATGGACGGGTCAGGTCGGTCTCTGGCCTATTCTTCCCAGGTCGGGCTGGGACAGTCACGGGCCGACCCTGCCCAACTTGACATGACTAGCTACAAGCGCCTGCCCTTTCCACCCATACACTGTACACATCCATATAATTTAGGGCCCCTTTTCATTGACAATTAGCTGAAGTTTTCTTGTATCCGTGATAATAACCACATTTACACCTAAAAGAAGAACTTAAAAAGGAAACAAATTGATATACCTTTGATCCCTTAGTTATTATTGAATAAAGATTGTGGTTCTTGTGTTATCTAATTAAACACCACTAATCCTTTAGTTAAATAAATTCACACTTCAAGTCCATTTCCAAGAAATCTAACTTTGATTGTGAATACCATGTCATATGTCAAGCGAGAATTACTCTAGAAAATATTTTTCATGTTGTGAACCTTGTAAAACTGTATCAATGTAAAACTGTATCAATCTCGGAAAAACATCATTAGAAGTACTAATACAAACACATAAGTAGTATATTACACGATAATCACAAAGCTCATCGCTTAACAATCCGGCAAAACATGAGACCAAAATAATAGCAGTACATTTTTAATCTATTACATATTTTATTGAATATTGATCAGATTTCATAAACCAAAAATTATTTAAGAGCTTAACTTCTATGCACTGATGGTATGAAAATTATTTACACAATCAGGCCACTTGAAAGGTAATTACAAGTAATTTTATTTAATAGCATTAATTAGTAACCTAAAATAAATGATAAATAATATTCTATAACAGGTTAAATTATACTAGAATGAAATTCCATTACATCTTTAATATATAACTTAAATCCTTATTACTCCATCTATTTAAATTATAACTCCTTTCTAAATTTAACAATACTCTTATAGCAAGAGAAATCTTTCATTTCTTTTATGGTCAGTTAAATAGGTTCATGTAAATTGAAACGAACAAAGTAATTACTCAGTAACTGAGGGATTAAAAACACAATCTTTTCTTAAAACACCAAACAAAGCAAAACACACACACAAAAAAAAGGTTAGATAGTCACCAGTTTGCCGCCATCAGTGAGAATTGGGGAGTCACACAAACTAAAATAAAGCTCTTTTTTGGTAGGAGAAACCAAAAATGAGTTTGATCTAGAAATAATATGTTGATACTCAGAGGGCAAAAATTTCTCCCAAACGACGTCGGATTCAGCGGCAGACTTGAATCCTCGTGAGATAGCTGAGGAAGTAGCAGCATCTTTGGGAGAAGTGAAGGAGAGAATCTCCGATATGCAACCTTCAGGTAATAAACGAAAATAATCCATCGGAAAAATCAATTGACTAAAGTTGCTGAATTTGGACGGTTTATATAGAAAACGACGTACCTACTTTGCACGTTGTTTTGTTCGTCTTAAGGCGTTATTTGGATATACATTATTGGAACAGCCGAACAACTTACACCTTGTTTGGATGGTTGTTTCCAATCGTTTTGTATTGTATTGTATTGTTACTTCAGATACAATATTTGTTTTGATTGTTAATATAAAACCGATTGTATCGTATTGTTAAATCCATTGTTCTGGAATAATGTAAAGCCCCAATTTATGAAACAACCAAATCGGTGTGGTGGGATTGTTCCGTATTTTTCTTTTCAATTACGCCAACATTTATTATTCTATATTTCAATTTTACCCTTTACCCTATTATTTATATTATATTTCACCCAACTACGTACTTTGTCTCCATCCTTCTGCCGTGCATTTTTTTGGTTAGTTTTCCCTCTCTTTTCTTGTGTATTTTTATTTAATCTATGATCTTTGCGAATTTTTTGCCGATTTTAATTACATATATAATTTACTTAGGTTTCTGCCATTCCAAACTATATGTACTTCTTTTCCCAATGACCATAATTTTAATTCTCCTTATCCTGTTACAACTATATCTAATTTTTGAGACTTTTTTTTTTTGTGTGTGAAGTAAGTTTTTCTATATGTCCTGGTGATATAAATTATCAAGTTAATATCATGGTTTAAAGTTTTTACCAAGCAATGTTTTAAAAGGCAGGTGCGTAAGGCGAGGCATTTTATCTCTGACGAGGCGAGGCGTAAGCCTTGAAACGTGGGGCCTAAGTCCCACGGATCTTTAAATTTTATTAATTTTAAGATAGTATAAAATAAAAAATAATTATAAAAATTATATTAAAATCACAAAATTATAACAAATAATCTATTTAAAACATTTATAATTTAAAATTCAACTATGAATAATACGAAGTATAACATATATCATAATATGCAAATTAGCTGCAACGTCGTTACAACTCAAACATCAAAAGTAATGTATTTGATACGAAATCTTATATGTATCTCTTAAGGAGTAATGAATGTTGAAAGAAATTCGATATTATAATTTGATATTTTTCTTAAAATACTCCTTTTATTTAATATGTTTTCTATTTGAAAGAGAAATTATATAAATACACAATTCACAATTTAAATATGATAACTAGTTATTTATAAATAGTTACTAGCTAATACTGAGCTACTAAATTAATAAGTATTGTATATCGTAAACGTGAAAAATAATATTTAGAAAAATAATTATAAAAATATTATAGACTATTATATAGTAAAGACATAACAAAAGTTAATAAATAAATACTTTTTAAATGAAAGATTTATTTAAAATTAACTATCATAGCAGTGTTAGTGGATAACGTGCAATAATTATTATTTTAATTATGACATGAAATACTCTCAACTTAATGATTTATGAGTAAGAAACAAGTAATTTTGAATAGTCAACAATTTATTAAGAAAATTTGAATATTTATAAGGTTAGTTACATACAATTGCATAAAGTTTTATTAGGTGAGCCCAGTACGCTGGGC